TAAGCCATTATCCATTACACCACCCGCTGACGAGGCTCGGCGTTGCTTAACTTCAGTTATCGTACAAAAACTAGTGATTCAACGTGATATGTCTGTAAGCCAATATCTTCGGTGGGGAAGAAGTAATGGATTCTACATTATCAAATGCTATTTGCGTGTAAGTGGACATAACAAACTCGACTGGATCTCGAAACCGGTTTTACTATTCATCATTCTTAGCCGTTGCATACAATCTTACATCACCTAGCATTCTCAAGTCGTCACTCACCTATTTACTGTTCAGGCTCGACATTGCTTAACTTCAGCGATCGCACTAGAACCTGTGTCTCAAAGTGGTACGTATGTGTGTCTATATCAAAAAGGTTTTCTCTATGTTCTCAATTCCTGTCTTGAAAAATTCACTTAAATAATTTACAGGAGTTTCTTTGTTGTCTCTTTAATACATTGAACAGATTAATTTGATAAGATTCCAGAACTATTTTGGATTAATGGTCCCAGTAATATGAAACAGAATTACCTTTATTCAAAGAAAGTTGACATGAACATTGCAGTTTGTCATGAAACAATAAAAAGTCAGAATTTTCAGGAATAAATATGATTTTCATATACGAATCACAGGCGTCGATATTTATACAAATTCCGTATAATATTATATATAAAGAAAAAACTGTTTAAGAAAAATAGTCCTAATGTAATTCCGTTATGCTGAAATTTATTCATGGGAAAAAAAGTGTTGAAGAAAAATCTGAAGCCTTGAGTTTAAGAATATTCATTCTTTAAAATACGTGCATGAGGATAATATGAGACTATCAGTAACAAAAATCAATACAGTTCCTTAAGCAGACCAATCTTGCTGACAATTTCACTTCTTAATGTAAGTTACCCTGACGTGCCAAAAACATGGTGTAACTTACCCTGACGTGCCAAAAACATGGTGTAAGTAAAAATTCTCGTTTTGGACCCTGTCTAGAGCAACTTCACGCGGCATCGATTCTTTAAGTTGGCCTAAGACTTTTTGAGATTATTTGAGACATATTGTGATGATAGCTGTCCTCGACAGTCCTGTGTTTGTAGATGCACGATACACCATGCGAATAAATCTCTTCAGCAGATACAATGTGTGAGTGGTTGGGCTCATATCTGGTGAATATTTTGGCCATATCATTAGTCAGTAAACTCCACTATGTTCTTTAAACCAATTCTATGCAACTTGGAAACGATAGTACAGTTTATGTTCAGTCTATTATTGTCAGGGTAGAATTAAAATGTATTTATATCTTAGATGTATCATCGAGTTTGAAAAAATCAGGCTGCAACAATTTTTGGAGATAATCCATCCAGGGTTTCCTTGTTTTTAACATACACTGTATTACCTATTCGGAAAATGTATTCCCCCCCGCTCAGTAATAAGAGAGGGAGCTTTCTAAGACAAAATCAAAATCAAAATATTATAAGAAAAATATTAGTTAAAAAATTTAGCGCCGTCTTCTATTCCTATCGTCTATTTGGAACTCAAATATATGTGGATATAGCGATATATGCTCATCGTTAAACTTTGTCAGAGAACCGTTTTTTTTTTTTTAGTCTTAGGTGGTGTAATGAATTGCGACTCCGAATGAAAAATCTTAGAGCTGAGATCGAATCCTTTTCGTGTTTGTTACACTCATTTAAGTGTAAATACCCTAGGGAAAATATCAATTCATTGCTTCGTTCCCCAGCTATGGGTTAAATAGTAAATCGTTTATCAGGAAAAATTGTTAATGCAATATTCACTCACAAAAAATGGTAATTAGTTTTACTAATATGTTTCAACCCTTAAAAAATACAACACATTTCTGATAAGCACTTCCCGACAGTGAAATTCCCTTCCTCTTATTTGCTTCCATTATAGCTTTAATCTTCAAAACTTAAATGTATTGCCAATCAACATTTTCTGATGTCTTGATCTTGTTCCTCGTCCTTCTCTTTATCCTTTCCTCGGTCCCCAAATCTTTTCTATTGTTTTACTTTCTGTGAGGCCTTGCGTGCTAGTTTCACTCCAGTCTTGCCTTGGGTAAATAGCTTAAAAACCCTATCTATCTATCTATCTATCTATCTATCTATCTATCTATCTATCTATCTATCTATCATCCCTCTCAATCTGTTCATATCTATCTATTTATCTATCTCAGTCTGTTGACATCCAGCTATTTTGTATCAGTCTGTTCATATCGATCTATCTCTGTTTATATGTATCTCAATTTGTTCCCTCTATCTATCTATCTATCTATCTATCTATCTATCTATCTATCTCTGGTTATACGTATCTCAATTTGTTCCATCTATCTATCTATCTATCTATCTATCTATCTATCTATCTATCTATCTATCTATCTCAATCTCTTCATATCTATCTATTTATCTATCTCAGTCCGTTGGTATCCAGATATTTTGTATCAGTCTGTTCATATCGATCTATCTCTCGTTATATGTATCTCAGTTTGTTCTATGTATCTATCTATCTATCTATCTATCTATCTATCTATCTCTGGTTATACGTATCTCAATTTGTTCCATCTATCTATCTATCTATCTATCTATCTATCTATCTATCTATCTATCTATCTATCTATCTCAGTCTGCTCATATCTGTCTACCTAGCTAGTTAGCTATGTGTCGGTGGCTGCATTTACTTATGAAAGCTATCTAGCTTTCCTATACATCAAAGTTAAAACATTTCTTTACTTATTTTATCTTTTTTGTTGCTACACCCAGGACTTTTACGCTAATGTCTAATTATAAAACAATTCTTTTTATATTCATTCACCGGCTATACAGAAAATAGTTCAGATATTATATGGCAAATAGTAAATAGTAATTCAGGAAAATAACAAATATACTTTCTTGAAATAAATATTATTAAATATTTGTTTATATTATATGTGGCGTCTCAGACATGTAACATCTTCCACAATAATTTAACTCTACAAAGAAATCTATATCTAAAACATTTTTGATGGTAACCAAATAAATTGACAATGTCATTATTATTATCATAAAATTTATGTTTAATTTCAAGATTGGAATTCAAGTGAGAATGAGATTCAATAGCTTGCCAACAACGAAACTACTTAACAATACTCCGTGATATTCATACAAGATTCAATGCAATCCACGAGACTGCAAATCGGAAATGTATTCTATCATTGACATTTTAGAACTGACCAATTCTTTACGCTTTTCTACATTGCGAAAAGCAGGAAGTTGACCGGATATTCCTGAGCGAAAACCCTGGAAATGTCTTCCTTCAAATTACAATATTTAGTCTCACAGCAAATAATTAATACTATATGCCTTAACGGATTAATATATTCCCCTCTCTCCCTTACTATTCAGCTTGTAAGTCTGATGAGAGGATTCTGTCACCTAAATTGGCCGGTTGAACTTACAGACGAAACAGCTGGGTGTTGATGAATTGAGCATTTGTCTATGCCCGAACGGTACACGTCAGCCCATTGTTTTTTTGGTATTCTACCATTTAACTGACCAGTTTTCATATCCGCTTGTGTCTGCATATCGGTGTTTAGATGAATGACAACCATCTTTTCTTCAGTTATGCTTCTGTCACACGAGGTCAAACGTCGGCGATATGTCAACACGAAGGAAAGATTATATTGTGGAAACGCAGGCGAACAATTATGTCTGATGGCCATTTCAACCATCACAAACAATGACATATTTTTATCTCCCATAAAATTGGAAATACGGATGGCTGCCCCATTGAGAAATATATACGCAAATATTTGTAAGTCAATGCAAACACATTTTAACAGCAAATATGTATGAATAATTCCTAGTGGTGAAGCTTACTCGACACAATATCCCCCGATTGTTATAAAATGAATGCCTTATATTATTCTTCGCAAATAAATACATCCAGTATAGGATTCCAGTTGTGAAGAGAAACTTATTAATTATGTCTGACACTTATATTGCAGAAAGAAATAACGCCTACTAATTATGCAAATTATGTAAATATTACACAAACACTATGTTGCAATTACCGCCTAAATTTTTCCTTTTTCACGCGTACACGTACTTTATCGATAAACATGTATTAACAAACTGCTATTCTTATAAATTAGTATTTAAAAATTATTAGACCAACAATCAAGGAGTACTAAATGCGACTGTTTATTAAGATAAATAATAATAATAATAATAATAATAATAATAATAATAATAATTGACCTCCAGTGATAATTATCCAGAAACAATGGCGTATCAGAGCCTACTCAATATAAATATCTGCATGGGAGTATGGGCCAATACAATGCAGTGGAAATTATGCAACTTCTACGAGAATGACACTAAAATAACCTGTAAAACTTTTACGGGACTTTACTATACATAAAGACAGAACAATCAAATCTAATTTCCAAGACAATTTGATCAAAGAACACAAGAACAAACAAAATGTGTTTTCTTCCTGAAATGTCAGTCTCTGCAGATTGTAATTTATCTTTGAAGACCTTCCAAAACTCTATCAAAAGGCAAGCATCTTGAAATTAAAATCTAAAAATTGGACATCAATAATTCCAATTGTAATTGGAGACCTCAGAATGATGTGGAAATGGTCCATTAGTCTCATTTAAGGGATTCCTGGTTGACCATGCCTTAAAGAAATAACAAAAATTGTAATCACATGTATTGTTTCGTTTGTGGAAAGTAATATGTATACGGCAGACACTAAAGAAAATAATAATAAGTTGTTGAATGTTAAAACGAGAAAGCTTCTCACCGCAAGCATAATCCCAAGTGGCATTCCTAAAAAATTAGCACAACATTTAGAAATTAATACAGAGAAAATCAAGAAATACTAAATACTACCGTTAAATTTTGAATAACAAAAATAATAATAATAATAATAATAATAATAATAATAATAATAATATATTAATAATAATAATAATAATAAACCACGAAGACCCGGTTACGGAGATAGCACATGTAACAATTTTATGAGACTACACAATATACACAGACAGAACAATAAAAGCTAACCGCCCAGACATTGTTATTATAGACCGCAAACAAACAAACAGAAATATCTCCTTATTGATAGAGCAGTCAAAAACCTATCAAAATACAAGGACCCTGAAATCGAAATCTCAAAAATGTGGCACATGGAGACATCCACAATCCTTGTTTTAGTTCGAGCATTCGGATTGGTTGAAAAAGATTCCAGCAGACTCATTGAAGAAAAATGTGTTCTTACGAGTACAGGCCACACCTTACGAAGGGATTTATCTATGCAAAATATGGGTGAGTTTTTCTTTTTTTTTTCATGGGTCAGTGGAAAATGTCATGATGCCATTTCTAACCTTAGGTCGCTGGGCGCGACACAGAATGAAATGTGTACACACCAGAAATCAAAGGAAATAAATTAATTATAATAATAATAATAATAATAATAATAATAATACACGGCAATTAAAGGCACAGAGAAGAAGACGATATGAAAAGAGTTGTATGGTCTATCAAAAAAATAAACACTTCCAAACGGACCGCAATAAGTTTTATACGGAATTTAGAAAAGCAGATTTGATCAAACGAGAACAAGAAAAAATGAAGAATAAAGCTGTGCATGAATGGAAAAATATAACCAAAAATAATTGACGGACCCTCAATACTATAAAATGTTTCAGTGATGACATCGTTATGGATTTCAGAGTAGAGAAATGGGCAAATGTAACATTCAAGAAAGGTAGAATTACAGAAAAAACTCAATGGATCTAAATTTTGTCCCAAACATTAGGGAACTGGAACAAGAAAAAGGCTATAACTCAGCGAAAGAGATGGAAAGTAAGAAAAGAATACTACAATTGTGTGCGTCTAGTTTTAAATAACGAGTTATATTCACACGCAAGTATATTATCTATAAAGACTTTGGCTGACCCTGTGATTAAATAAAGTTTCAATATCCTTAACTGGACCATAGATTACATTAAGCGAATGGATGTTTAAATGAGAAATCATCTCATTTGCCACTCTATGCAAAAATTCTAAGCCCGAAGTTGACCCTCTGAACGTGTCCAGACCTGGAGGTATCAGAGGATTAGTTCAACTGTAACTGTCTAACAAAACAGCAATAATAGACCTTCAAAGATACTTCGATACTACAGAAAGCTAGATGATTATCTGTGTTAAAGAAAATGAAAGAAATAAACTTTATTCATTAATAAACAAACCAAAAAAATCGAAAAGTGGATTTCAAGTTGGTGAAGAAGATTAAATAAAGCATATTTCACATATTGCTGCAGCAAACAACCTAAAGTAAAAGTCAAAAGCAAATGCAATGGAAGAGAGGCAGAAACGATAGCAAGATAAACCTCTTCATGGCAAATACGCTACCCGTACCAAAGAAGCCGGTGAAGGTAAAATACATACGCATTAGTGGTTTCGTAGTACAAGTTTAAAAGCTGAAATCAAAGGTTATTTTGTTTATTCATGCTGTAGAAGACAAATGCCAGTTAACTAGAATTATACAAGCGAAAATTCTGAAAAGACGTGTTAACCTGAAATTCAGATTATGTGATTAATATGTCAGAAACAAAATTGTCCTGATGACATTTCTGATCTGATGTTTCTGGTTGGGACCCGGAAGGAAATAAATATACAACAGAAATCTAAGGAAAATAATAATAATAATAATAATAATAATAATAATAATAATAATAATCTTCAAATGTCTATCAAATACAAGGATCTGGAAGTGGAAATCTCAAAATTCTGGCACATGAGGACATCAATAATTCCAGTTGTAATTCGAGCCTTCGGATCAATTGGAAAATGTTCCGATACATGCATTCAAGGGATCCCTGTTAGTCCATGCCTTAAAGAAATACAAAAATTGTACTGAAAAATAATGCTCACACATTACGAAGAGCTTTATCTATATAAAATGTGTGTGATCTTTGTTTCTTTTTTCTGTTTCTTTTTACAAAAATGATCAGTTTAAAATGTGATGATGCAATTTCTGGCCTTAGGTTTCCGCTTGGGACCAAGAATGGAATGGAATGTTTATACAACAAAAATCAAAGAAAATAATAATAATAATAATAATAATAATAATAAGCAACATTTGTATCTCATCGGTTAAGCGTGCTCTTGGGTCTTCTTCGAGAGTCGTCTTAAAGCTGGTAACTTGAACATAATTACCCCTTGTCAGTGAAGGTTAAAACGCAAATCTCTACCAATTTCCATGATTACGAATAAAATTTCATACCGGATCGTTCGTCATCCGGGTCAACAAGGGCAGTGTTCCTCAGAGAGAAATCAGTCTGAGGACGAAAAATCTGCCACTGGAACAAACCTATCCACAAACGAAGAGACATTAGGTCACCAAACCCGGATGATTGTTACCCTTGGACCATGTGACTTAATACCAAATCGACTAATAAAAAGAAAACAAACGAAATGGTCTCGCGAAGTATATCGACAAGTCATGACGTCCTTTTTCATTGCACTCGAAAACCCAGCAAAGAAAAACACCAATCAAACATACCAAGAACCAAGGGCTTTATTTGTGTAATTTTTTTTTTTTTGTCAGTGGAAAGCGTCATTATGCCATTTCTAAACTTAGGTCCCTGGGCGGGACC